TCCCCACTCATTTTCCCAAGATCAGGAAACAGCTTTTAGAAAAGTTCATATTTCATCCTTGAAAGAAATCAAACACTTCATAATAAGCAAAATTACTAAGAATTAAACATTTCCCATTCTGTGTAGTTTTTACTCCAGTATATTAAATTATTTCTGGGCATGAAGCTTCTGTCTACCCCTTCCCCACACTGAAATTATTTGTAGTACTTGGATTCCCTTGCTTTTGAAACAGTAGCAGCCACTGTTCATTTGGAAGGTGAAATTATAGGTGATTAATCAAAATATGAACAGGAGTAGGCTTTTAGACTGGTTTTGATTGCATGTGGATTCAATGCCTCTTGTGTTTTTACCCAGTCCTTAATTTTTTCTCTGCTTTAAAACAGTGTAAGAAATGACTTGCTGATCACAGATGAGCTGATAAGGTTGGAAAGTTACTCTCCCCACTGAAGTGTGTGTGCACAAATGCATTGCCTTCACTATTAATCTTTTCCCATATTCTTAACGTACAATGGATTGTTTCCTTTTAAACAAACACGCAGAAACCAGTAAAACAAATACAGGAAGTTTTAAACTATTAAGGAGATGTTGAGAGAACTATAATTCAATGAAAACCTTGGATGAGTGGATCGTTGGCATGTGCAGGCTCACCAGTAGCTGTGCCAAACTGGGGGCTGTGGTCAGCCTCCTTATTCACCCCCTCAGCTCCACGCAGGGTGGTAGAAACTTTCTGCAATCAAAACATTTTGCAAACATCATTAGGGATTGAGTTTCTGAATTATAATTTTATGTAATTGTCTTTACGATGGTAACAGGAGATGTTCATGGCTGGGTTTCTTTTTTCCTTCAGCTGTCCCAGTAGTGAGCAGCAATAGGGCTGGGTCCAAAACCCCAGTGCAGGGTGTGACTGGGGTGGTAGTTGTTAGTGTCCCTAATTGCAGAGCTTGCTGCTGGGTGATATGAATGACATGCTGAGCTTTACACTTCAGAACAGGTAGCATGTTCATAGGCAGGGACTCCCCTCTGTTCTGCTGACCTTGCTGCTGTGGAGTCAAGATGGACACATCAAACTTCTGATTTCTTCTGATGGTCCCTGAGTGTGTTTTGCCTTGACAAATACTGCTGATGGAGTTCGTAAAGGTTTTGTTACGAGAAGGATGTAAACTTACTGGATCAGGGAGAATGACTGAAATGAAGTGGCAAATTGCCAAACCAGCCCAGATACCTGTGAAGTATCCCCCTTAAATTTAAATCCAGTATTTCAATCTTTCATTGAATTTTAATTCAAACCAGGAATCAATAACAAGCAGGTTTGATGCTCAGAAGAAGGACACTTAGAGTTCAGTACTGGTATTTCTTTCCTGTAATTAGGATGAAGAAGCAACTTCCCTGGCACGTATTGATCATCCTCTCAAACTCCACAAATTCCTGGTATTGCTTTTTGGCAAGTCATTGATATTATATAGCACCATGGAAACAGGGCAGCTGCTTGAGGGCTGCAGCTCACACACTAGTGCAATGTCAGAACAAGTGATGAGTCTTTAGGATGCGTTCATGAAGCAAAGGAGGTTAAATATACGAGTTTGTACTTTTCACCTTTAGTGGGATAAGCTAGCACACACTCTGCAGGTGGAAGTACCTTCAGACTGTACTGATCTTGTTGGATAAATATAGCCAGAAATTCAGCTTTTACAGCCAAGAATCCTGGTAATTTCTGCTATTTGGGATCCCCTCAAACAGGAGACGATGACAATTTTTAGCTTTTAAAGCCAGAGTGTAGTGACATCCTAGTCCAACATTGGAGCAAGACTGTTTGAGAAACCTCATATGGCACCTGGTGTGTAAAGATTAAGTGGAGAATTTTTGAATGTGTAGCTGTGGCCAGCCTAGAAATGTTAGAAATATAAGGACTTCTGGGCTGAAGAAATGGCAAGTGCATTTGGGGAAGAATTTACTGCAATTTCATCCTGTTGGTTGTGTTTAGGTTATTCGGTAGCTCAGTAATTAACCCTTTGTTATCTGGAAGGATCAAGAGACCAATTTCTTGGAGGCAACTGTGCCATCTCACTGATTGTTGCATCCTGTTGGTTTAAAAGAAAATTGAAGTATGTGTGAGGACACGTTAGTTGAGGTTTAGCATTTGGGTATGTTATTTTTGCCTTGATTCACAGAAATATTAAAAAAAAATATCCATGACGACTTCCATTTGGAGTTCAGCCACATGTAGCCTGATGGAAATGCCCTGTTAAATCAGATGTAGGAGGTGGTGGAGGAATTATCACTAACATTTGGGTATGGTGTGGTGGGTTTATGTTCTTGTTGAAGCAGAGTGAAGGAAATAGAAAACTGTTTCTGAGGAGATCCATCAGAGAGGACTCTGGCTCCTTCCTGATGGGAAGGAATCACGGGCTCAATACTGAAGGGAAAACATATGAAAATGTGACATCTTTGGTCTCTTGGACCACAGCCTTCAGGCAGAACTTGTTTTAAGACAATTTCTGATGTCCTGAGGACTGAACACTTGTAGTGGGTACAAACACGTCCACAGACAGCACTGTTCCTTTTTTTCCAGTGAAAATCTGCTGTCTCTAGGGCTTTAACACTGAGACCTTTGGGGAGAACAGAGGAACAGCTGGAAAGCAATGCTCATGAAGATGTTCAGTATTATGGATTTGGGGCGTAGTGCTGGAGTGCAGGAAACGCCATGAGGTTTGTTCTCTTGACTTCTGGGAAATGCAAACCTCTTGGGAGAACATGAAGCATGGAAACACTTTGCTATGGATGTTTTTTAACCTTGTTGATCTTCAAGATTTTTCTGCCTTTTGCTATGCACAGTGGAATTTTGGGGGAATTTAGAGCAGCAGAATATAGAAAGTAATTTTTAATTATTTACTGTAATAGGAAAGACCATTAGTGCAAATTTAAATGAAATCTGTATTTAATCAAATGGGAGGTGTTTTGGTACTGAAAACCTTGGCTGCAGCCAGGCTGTTAAACTGAATTGCAGTGGAAAGTGCAAGAGGTTAAGGTCTGTACATGCCCAGTCATCAAACTAATGCTGGCTTTGAGGGTCACAGCACCTCATTCAGGAGATAATTCATTGCTGTTTTGCATCCTTAGCACCTGAACTCTAGGAAGGCAATTTGAGCAGCATGTCTGTTTCCTAGTGGTATTCAGCTGAGTTGTGTAATTTAGGGGACCTTGGCTCTTTGGAAGAGTGAGGTGCCACCAAGGAATGTGCTGTTGCAGTCATGGGAGAATGCCTGGAAAGGAGGCTCCTCTGTACTGGACATTAACTCATAAATCATGCTAATGCTCTTACAGATAAATCTTCCACTGTGAAAACCTTTTGATACTTGTCTGTTATTAATGACCAAAAGGACTTAATTTTACTAGCTAGCAAGTCTTTCAGGTTTCTATGGAGTGTTTAGCAGTCTAGTGAGGTATAGCCTTCCATTCACTTACCTACAACTTGTATTTCTGTAGGCACCAGAGGGTGACAGAAGTTTCTTCTCTAAAAGTCCTACCTTTCAAGTCCTACTTTTCCTACCTAAAAAATGTGTAGGTATCATAGTGAAAAGTAAGTGAAGGTGGAGCTCATGCAGGAACTGATCAGAATTCCTCAAATGATAAGTTTAAGCTGGAGAAAAAAAGGCAGAAGGCATTTTATTTGTATGCATTAGATTTTTTTTTTTGCTTTAAGCTGCCACTCATTTCTAGTTCTCACACTTTCAACAAGGGGAAGATGGTGTTGGGCAAACAGGGCCTGTTGTGGCAGGAGCAGGTTTTCAGCAGCAATGCAGTCGGTGATATCTAACTGGGCAGTTTCAGCAGGCTGAGTTTAAAAGCTGTTTATTTGCATCTGAAAGCTGTTACCATTTAAATCTTGAATAAAATTTCACTTCATTTTAAAATAGCAGTACCTGAAGGAGTGTATCATTACCTTGCTCTTCCCTGGCTCATGTCAGTAGCTGTAGGTAGAGTGAAAAGGCACCCGAGTACCTGGGCAGAGACTGGTGTGCCTTGCACATCTGTGAGGTGACCTTCATCTTTGAGGCTCCCAACCCAGTTGTGTATGTCATGGAGCTTCATTCTTTTATAAAATAAACCTTCTAAATATTGCTGCCCAATACATATGATAAACAAGACTGAACATACTGGTTGTACTCATTCAGGGTTTTCATCTATACAGCTTAGTTCAACTTGGTGTGAACTTGTAGGCTTATTTATAGTCTTCTGTTGTTTGCTGCATCCTGTGGTTTTCTTGTAATGAAAAAGCTGTCCTCTTTTCACTAAATTGTTATATGCATGGAGTACATGGTATGAGGTTCAGTGCATCTAGTTTAGGGCTGTCAGCCAAATAAAAATGAAGAATATATACTGGTTTTTCCACATAATAAACTTTTCTGTTGCTTTTTTACCAAGACTTCTGCAGTGAGGTGCTGCTACCAAAAAACTTCACCTATGTCCTTTCCTCAAGGAGGGAGAAGAAATGAGGAAAATGCTGGTTGAAAAGGAGAGCTTCTTTAACACCAGCAAACACTTGATTATCTAGCACAAAGCTGATCTGGATTGCTGTTAGACTACATAAACAACTGGGAACCTGGAGTTCCTTAAGCTTGGCACCCTGTGCAGAACCTCTCTGAGCTGCTAACTGCTGGGCATGGTGTGGCTGGGTTGCCTAAGTGCTTCCCAAAACTCAGAGGCCTCAGTTTACTTTTGCTGTAGTGGGCAAAACTTTTTTTTTTTTCCCCCTCTTTGCACTGATTGTATTACCCACACATGTGACTCATTACATAGCACTCAAATTCTTCTATTTTGAAAAAAACAAATAATTGTAGAGCTGCAAGCAGTGGTCAGCTGTCAGTGTCTTGCATAGATTTTCCTGTCTCCTGATGTACCCCTAGTCTGTCAGTGTCCTCTTCAGTCATTTTCCCAACTTCTTAATCACTTCTGCAGTTCATTGAATACTTCATTGGTCTTTCAGCATCATCCTGCTTGCTATGGGGGATGAAGGTGTCACCAGTGGGGTGGACTTCAGCTGGACATGTGATCTGGTGGCACTGAAGAGGGTGTGATTTGAACCCAGGGTTTGGTGTCTGGGTGACTACAGGGGACATACTTGTGGTGTTCTGTCCAGTTTCTTTCTTAATGATAGTGTAAACCCAACTGTAAATACAGCTCTGGCATCTTCTGATGCAGACTGGGTTTTTAAGCCAAGATGAATTTGACAATATGTTATTGTTGGGCTTGTATAATATTGAGAAATGCTTAGCATCTGGTTCCAGCAATGTCCTATCAGTAATTGTAAAAGCAGGCTAGTAACAATGGGAATAAAAAATGTTTCTTTTACTAAGAAGTGATTGATTTTTTTCATATATGTTTTTCCAGCAGACAAACTCTTTGTGTTCCAGCAGTTATTTGCATAACACTGCTGCTGTAAAACAGTGAATATATTCTGTTGTCACAATAATCCTTTTGAAATCGTGTCAAAACACATTGAATGTTAGCGGGTAAACCAACCATGAAACTGCTATTACTTGGGTTTTTTTGAAGGTCACTCTTCTGCTAGTTCACATGGTTTTTGAAACCTTGATTTAAATGCTGACTTTTTAGGATGGATCATATTAAATTGGAGTTTTGAAAGTAAAAGTGTTGAGGAAACTTATGCTGTTTTCTTGCCTTTTTTAAATTACTTTTGGAACATACTCAGAATACCTAGAGGTGAATGTTCCTTGGTGAAGATATGTGCAATTAAAGAGGTGTCTGTTTTCATGGACAGGTGACTTCCAAAGGAGGAGCATCTCAGTGCAAGGAGAGGCACGTGATTCTGCTGAGCCCTGTGGGAGAGCTGGAGATCTCTGGGTGTGAAATGGGCTTACATGAAATAAAACTCCCAAAAATGAGTGTGCTGCCAAGTGGGTAAGTTCATGTTCTATTGATCCTATGTTTGTGTGGGGGAGAGGAAAGATTGCCCAGAGGATCTCAGACACTACTACAGGTACCTGTTTTTATGATCCCTACTGGGGACACGCTGCCACTGTGAGAGGCAGAGGCAGGAAGCAGCCTCCAGGACCTTTAAGGAGCTGGCAGCTCCAACATTTCTGCTGCATGAGAAATATTAGCAAAGAAATAAAAAATAAAAGTATTTTTAACATGTTTTAGAGGTACTTCCTGCCTCCTAATTCTGGACATGTGAACCTGTCACTAAGGAGTTGGATCTTCTTGCACACTTTGTAGATTTTATTTACCTAGATATAAATGTTTCAGCAGGCAGGACTAGGATTGAATAATTGTAATTCCTGCATATTACTTGCAAGACCCTCAGTTTGTTCTGCCTATCTGTGATGTCTTCTGGAGTTCAGAACAGATGATACACGTGGCAGTGGAGGTGATGTCTCAAATATGGGACTGATTGAGGAGGTGTTGGTACATTCTACTGTTGAATAGAGGTGCTGTTCAATATTCCAAAGAACATCTCTCCTGTTCAGATCTTTGGTCTGTGCCTTTTCCCTGTTTGTGAGGAAACGGTGAGTGACATTTTTAAAGGGAACACTGAATTCTTTCAGAATTGCTAGATGCCACATTTCTTTGCCAAAATGCAAGTTATTAATGCTACTGATCATGGCTAGTTTCTTCAGCTGGTTTTTTGGTAATAAAATTGGAGCATTTGCCACAGTCTCTTACAGCAGAGCTTTTTCTGACAAGACTTGAGCAGATTTGGCTTTTTCTCCCTGTTGTCCTTTTCTCCTCTGCTTTTTCCTTCTGAAATCCACCTTAAGATTTGAGGGGTTTCCCCTTTTCTGTTTTCCTGTTTTATTATCCTTGTAATTTAAGTGTGCGTAAAATTAATCAGTAATGTAAAACATAATGTGTGTTCTGGTTGAAATGTTTTTGCCTCTAATAAGAAAACCCATAAGCCTCTGGATTTGACAGTTTTGCCAGTTCCAGTGATGTGGAAGGACTTCAGCTTCTTCACACGCTGATCTCAGTATTGGATTTGTGCTGCTGAGGAAGAGAAATAAAGCAGTATTTAGGGTAAGGCCAGAGCAGCATCTGCCTGAAGAACAACTAAGCAGGCAAGAACTCCTCACTCTTGAAGAGTCAAGGGTCAATGAGTGGGTAGAAGAATTAGATAAATTAGGAAGGAGTAGGAAATAAAGCTCTGTGTTCTCAGAGGTGATGAATAGGAGAACTTGGTGGTGTCCTTGGTAATGCTGGATGCAAAGGGACTTGCATGGAAATAAAAGCTGAAGGTAATAATGAAGTTGTGGGTATGACAAAATACAAGCTCACAGTGAAACGGCAGATTATTGGAAAAAAATGATTACAGGCTCTTAATTAGTAAAGGCTGAGAAAGGTAGATGGGGAGGTTCTGGATATCTCTTCTGGAGAAGGCAAAGGGCTGTCTGATTTCTGTCTTCAATGTTGGGGTTTTGAATGTTTCACTTGATGACTTGCCCTCCCTTCCTGGACAGAGCTTCAGGGACAGTACCTCTCTTCAGAGCAAGTGGTGGTTGGGAGACAGGGTGGAGAAATCAATCTTTTGGGCTCAGACCTTTTTCCCCTAAAATTTCTGAGTACTTTGCTCCTTCTTGCATAAATGAAAGCTGCTGTTACAAAGGCTGGGTTGTTCCCCTCCTGGAGGGAGCCTTGCTGCCAGGCAGGTTCTGCCCCCTTGTGAGGATGGCTGCTACTCTTTGCTCACGGGGGCTGCCATGTGCTTGTGTGTAATGTGGCCAGGTTGGCTGGTTGAAGAAGGGTCTCCTGATCGTGTTCCTCAGGCAGACATCAGGCAATCTGGAGCTTTTTCTGAATTCTTTAATTTGTATCTGATCTTGCTATTTCAGTTTTCTCAGTAGTGAGTTAATTTCCTGGCCTCCCAGAAGTGTTGAGGCTTGAGTGGCATCTTGGTAACACTTAAATAATGCAGTTTCATAGGTTACTTGAAGAAATTGTTATATTAATGATAGAATAGTACTGAAGAGTGATTTAGAAGCTAATAGTAAGCAGAATTTTCTTATAGCTACTTTAAGAATTTGCATCTGAAAAAGAGGTAGAAGGTGAGACTTTCTTTTTTCTTTACTGATTATGAAGTTCTAAAAAATTTAAAGCCACCTGTAAATGTGCTGAAGTACAACACATCACCTCTTCTACTCATCACTTGTGAGTGGTTGCTTAATTTGGCCTCATTATTTTTGACAGAAGAAAATAAAAACAAAACAGTGCCCCGTGTTTCTCCTAACTGGCTAATAAACACTGTGGTAAGAACATTGGGTAGAAAAAAACCAAAACAACATAAGAAACGTAAAAATTGATTTTAATGAACCCCTGTCAGAGAGAACCATAATGAGCACCAGCCTAGTAATAAATATTGGTATTCTGCTCTATGGGGCTTGGGACTTCTCATGTAGAATTGCATGTAACAATCAATATAGATTTTAGGGGTTTTTAACAACAAAAATAAGTAAACCTTTGAAATATATGAATACTTAAGACTTGCAATCAGTCAGACAAACCTGCTCGTTGTAGAATAATCTGATAAGAGTGCCTGGTTAATGGCATGATGGTTTGTGGGGATCTTGCTCTGTTTTACAGCTTATAAAATGCTGTGCAATTAATCACCTGAGATTACAACCTACTCTGTGATGGCTCTCTTTAAAACTTAAGAACACAGACTGTAATGTAGTCTAAAAGGAGAAGAAACAAAGTAAAATTCATGAAAGAAATTGATCTATTAATGAGATGAAACTGATTGTAATAACCTAAGGTTATTCTGCTCCTTGTAAAACTGCAGAGTTTTAAACTCAAGGCACATCACAGGGTAATGGTTTCTGTTTGGGGAGAAGGGTTTTTTATTCAATCTTATTAAATATTTCTGTGTATATATGCATAAAATGTCATACTTATACATTAAGATTTGCAGCTAAACATGATTGTGAAAGTTTTAATTTACTGCATACTAACTCAAATTGTTTCAAAGCATTCTGCATTTTGAGTGCAGTGCTGACTTAAAACAGTAACTTTAAATCACCTGCTTGTATTTTGTGCAAGTTGTGCACTGACTTGGTTTGTCATTCCAGCTGGCATTGTCAATTAATAAAGTGCTGGAGATAAAGCCAAAATGGATGATCTCAGGGTCAGAATAATCTGGAATAATCAAGTTCTTTGCGTCTGATACCCCTGTGCTGTACTTGGGAGGCTGTGGTAGCTTTAACCCTATGTACATCATCAGGAGGTGAACATGCAGGGGGCTCAGGGCGTCTGCAAGGCTCTGCATTCCTTCCTGGAATCAAGTTGGAGTGTATTGTTTCAGGGTTGGAAAGTGGGGCAAAAAGGATGCCAAAGATGAAGCTTAATTTTATAAATTTGTATGAGAAGTTTGGGTTCACAGTTTCAAAAAAAGAACTAAAAGTATATCCTGTGTATATATTTATACATGTACATTTACTGCTATATCACCTGTTGTAGCTTTTCTTTCAGTGTATACAAATTTAGACATTAGTTTTGATCACAGAGATTTTCTTTCTTCAATATCCCTACTTTTGAAATATTGCAAGTGTTAACTCCTTTTGCTCATGTCCAAAAGGAAAACTTGCTTTTTAACTGTGACTGTATTTTTAAGTGTCCTTAGCAGCTTTGAAGTTTCAGAATTAGTTTTCTTCCTTATTCTGCTGTCCCCTGCAGTGTTCCCATCCTGGGATCACTGTTTTGAGAAGCCTCATCTTACTCCTGAGCTGGAGGGGTAAATTATCTGCTTGACAAGGAGAAAGTTGTATTCTTGACTTGTGTTAACAGTAGCAAACCATGTTTGTATTTTCCTGTGCTAAATATATACAGCAGAAGGTAGTTTGGGATCATGGGCTATTGCTAGCTGGGATGGCAGCAAGGAACAGTTTTTCCTTCAGTTGAAAACTCCAAATTGAGGAATTCCCTTGTTCTCAGGAGCAGAATTTCCAGCTCCCTGCCTGGTCAGCATACACACAGGTTATCCAGTCTACACATGTGCTAATGCTGGGAAGTAACAGTGGCAGCTGGAGGCTTTTAGTAAAAGAAAGTAAGGTAACCTACCTTGAGGTAAACTGAAACAGTCTCCAAAGTGTGGTTGGAAAATCCTGTCCTTGCTGAGCATGGGGTGGTGAACAGTGTGGCATGTAAGTGTGCTATGAGTGTGTGTGAAATCAAAGTTACTTTTGCCGTCTGGTCAGTGGGCACAGATCTCAGGTCATGCTGCATTGACACCCCCTGGGGGACTTCAGGATGCCACTGTAAGAAGTTGTTGGGTTTTTCCACTTTAAAGCTGAGCTGGTGGTGGTTTGTGACTGCCATCCTTTGGCAGGTCCAGTGCTGGGGTGAGATGTGGCTGGTCTGGGGACAGCCACCCCCTTGGTGCTGGGCTCCTGCTTCTCCAGCCTGGGAGCTGTCAGGTTTGAACTTGACAGGGGAGCCTGAGCTCCCGCTTCCTGCAGGAGACAAGGTGGGAAGGTGATCTGCTCTTCCTCCATAGACTTGGGAAACTGGGTGTTTTTCAATATGGACGCAATCTGGAATTGAGGACACTACAGAAGTTGATGTGTTTCATGCATGTCTGAGAGAAATAAGGTTGGGCAGGTTGACTTGCTTTACCATAGCTTGAATGGTCAAAATGTGCTTTTTCCTACTGGTGTAGCAATATCCCAGACTTCCCTTTACACTGTTTTCAGAAGAGGGATTCTTTAGGAAGCAGTGTGATCCCAGCTGCTATCTATGTCTAGCGGGTTATTTGCAGTTTTCTTTAGTGTTTCATTTCCCCACATCTGACAGATCAGAGGAGGAGGAATAAGGAGTCAGTTTGACCATTCTTGTATTAATCACCTGCCGAGACCCTTTAAGGGTGAATTTGTAGCTCAAGAAGTTCACAAGGGTTTCAGTCAATCTCTGCC